TCTCTTTGGAATGGGCACAAATACAGACCTCTTCCAGTCAGCTGACCAGGTAGTGATCTTCCAAATTTCTTGGCGTAGATTGAGTGCCACCAGTGCTGCATCAGTTTGTTGAAAGATTTCAATTTTTATTCCATCAATTCCTGGAGGCTTGTTCTTTGCCAATTCCTTCAATGCACCTTGGACTTCCTCCTTCAGTATCATTAGCTCTTGATCAGATACTACCTCTTGAAATGGTTGATACCCACAATTTCTTTGTGGTACAGTGATTCTTGTAATTCCTTCTATCTTCTTTTGATGCTTTTTGCATCTTTCAATATCTTGCCCATAGAATCTTTCAATATTGCAAGTCAAGGCTTGAATTTTTTCTTCAGTTCCTTCAGCTTGAAAATGCTGAGCATGTTCTTCCCTTTTGGTTTTAAAACTCTAGATCTTTGCACACTTAGCTATCATATTTGATTTTGTCTTCTCAATATGACCTTTGAAATTTTCTGTTTAGCTTTTTTATTCCCTCATTTCTTCATTTGCTTTAACATCTCTATGCTGGGGAGTAAGTTTCAGAGTCTCTTGTGACTTCTGACGTTTGATCTTTTCCTTCTTTCTTATCTTCTTAACACCCTTTTGCTTTCTTCCTGTATAATATTCTTGATGTCATCCCACAACTCTTCTGGTCTTCGGTCTTTAGTGTCTAAAGCATCAAATCTTTTCTTAAGATTATCTCTAAATTCAGGTGTGATACATTCAAGGTTATATTTTGGCTCTCATGAACTTGTTTCCATTTTCTTCAGCTTCTGCCTAAATCTGCATATGAGCAATTGTTGGTCTGTTCCACAGTCTGCCCCTGGCCTTGTTTTGGCTGATGATATGGAGCTTTTCCATTATCTCTTTCCATGGTGGTGGTGGTGGCTGTGTGCTGTGGAGTCAGTACCGAATCACAGCAACCCTGTACAGGGTTTCCAAGGCTGTAAATCTTTACAGGAGCAGATCGCCCCATCTTTTTTCTGCAAAATAGCTGGTAGTTTCAACCTACTGACCTTGCAATTCGCAGCCCAGTTCATAACCACTACGCTATATATTTGATTTTTGTGTGTTCTATCTGGTGAGGTCCATGTGTATAGCCAAATCCTATGCAATGCAAATCCTTGCTTCTGAGGGAGATTTTGAAATTTTAAATTTGAAGTGTGTTTCACTTGGCTCCTAAGCAATTTTCCAACTGCCCTGACCCTTCACTTGCTTTGAGGTTTCTCTTTCACCTAGAGAAACCAGCTCACTTCCCACCGAATGGTATCCTTTTTTCAGGATTGTTCCGCACTTTCTGCCACGTTCTAAGATCAAAATGTCAGTGATTCTTTTCACATATTCCCAAGAGATCCTACAGAGAGAGAAATGCGCTGTTACTTAAAGGAGAGGCAGTAAGAGGATATGTTTACACTGCACTAGCCACGAGTTTTGGTGTGGCTCTGTAGGATAAACTCTGGACTGCTGACCACAAGGTTGGCAGCTTAAACTCACCAGCTGCTCCTTGAAAACCCTAGACAGGGACACTGTGAGTAGGCACTGACTCACGGCACTTAACAACAGGCAAACTCTGCAGCCCACCATCACCTTCCATGGAGATTGGACCTCAAATGAACACAGTGGAGTCCCATCTCTTAGGGAGTCACACTCTAAGTCAAACTTAAAAATTAACTTTAACATAGTTTACACTAGATGAAAATAAACCCAGGATAAGGTGAATAAAAACTTTAAAAGTCAATAATAGGCAGAAACAATGACGTGGAGAGCTGGAGAGGCTGGGGGCTCTGAATTCAGGGAGGGAGTGGATCTGTGTGCTGACGGCTGGGGGCAGGCTTGCGGGGTGTATGTACCCTTTGGTTGTTTGAATGGTTATATATTCCTGAGTGCTTCAGTGTACATCAAACCAAAACAAAAACAGAGGGAATGGAAGCAAATGCTGTTGAATGATGATGCATGGAGGGGATTGTAATCATTGCAATGAAATAAAATACGATAGGATGAATGTAAAGCTGATGTTCTCCTATGTAAAGTATCACTCAATTCACAATAAAAACTTAAAAAAAGAAAGTATAAAATCCAAAGAGGAATCATGAGAGAATTCCTTTGTAATATTCCAAACTATGGCTCAAACTCTAAATGCCATAAAAGAAATTATTGGTAAATTCAATGAATTCTATAACAAATTGTGGAACAAAAATTTCATAAGCAATAGTCAAAAGACAGGCATCAAATTACAAACCACACTATAAAAGAAATCTGGTCTCCTCAATATAAAGATCTCCAGGAAGCCAAGAAAAAGCCCAGCAGAAAAAATGAGCAAGAACGTAAACACACAGATCCCAGGAAGAAAATATAAATAAATAGCCCTCAAGCATCAGGAGAAAGGAGCTCTGGTAGCGTAGTAGTTACATGTCCGGTTGCTAACCTCAAGGTCAGCAGTTCGAAACTACCAGCCTTTCTGTGAGAGAACTATGAGACTTTCTTCTCCCATAAATAAAGCTTTACAGCCTCAGAAACCCTATACCGGGTCACTATCAATTGGAACAGACTCCATGGCACATAGCCACCACCATTACCAATCAGAGGAAGAGATGCTCGCTTACACATAAGAAAAACACAATTTAAAAGCTACAATAAAATGTCATTTTTAACCAATCAGATTGGTAGAAACTCAGAAGTTTGATAATACGTTCAGTTGGCAAGATGTGGGAAATAGACACTCTCTTGTATTGCTAGTAGGAGTGTAAACTGGGACAATGCTTATGAAGGGAGATTTAACATTAGTAGCGTAGTGGTTATGAATCGGGCTGTGAACTGCAAGGTCAGCAGTTCTAAACTACCAGCGGTTCCACGGGACAACATTGAGGCTTTCTGCTCACTTAAAGATTTACAGCCTCGGAAACCCTGTACGGGGTCGCTATGAGTCGGAACCAACTCTATGGCACATAGCAACAACAACTGTGGGCTAATGCGCTGGGCTGCAAAGTCGTTTGAACCACAAGGTCAGTGGTTCAAGCTCACCAGCCACTCCTTGGAAACCCTAAACAAGGTCACTATGGGTTGGAAACAACTTGACGGCCCTTAACAACAACAATAACAATCAAAATTCCAACTGTATATGTACTAGTATTCTTTGGCCCAACAACTCCACTGTGAGAATTCATCCTACAGCTTAGCTTGTGAATTTACAAAATAAAACTTGGGGGTTATTCATTGCAACATTGTTTGTAGTTTTAAAATACTGGAAACAACTCAGATATCTGTCTCCATAGCTATAAAATGGAATTATATATATATATAAAGACATGGATGGTTTCTAGGCTGTGATATAGAAAGATCTCCAAGTTATTTGATAAATGAAGAAAAATGTACAGAAAAGTACATTAAAATAGAGTAGGTAATTATATATATATATTTGCTTGCATTTCATAAAGAAATTCCGAAAGAACACACAGAAAACTAATAGCAGTGTTCACTGTTGGTAGGTGTGGGTAGAACTGGACAGAGAGGCAGGGCGGGTGCAAGACTTCACTGAGAACATCTTTATTCTCTTTAACTTTGAAACCAGTATAATGTGTTACCTAATTTTGAAAGGAGTCTTGGTGTGGTGCTATGGGTTAATGAGCTGAACCGCAGTCAGTTTGATCTGCAAGGTCAGTTCAAGCTCACCAGCCATTCCTTAGAAACCCTATGTTGTTGTTGTTAAGTGCCTTCGAGTCGGTTCCGACCCATAGCAACCCTGTACAGAGTTTCCGAGGGTGTAAATCTTTACGGGAGTAGAAAGCCTCATCTTTCTCCCATGGAGCGTCTGGTAGTTTCGAACCGTTGACCTTGAGGTTTGCAGCCCGATTCGTAACCACTACGCAGGGTCACTATTCATCAGAACCGACTTGACGGTACTTAACAAAAGCAAAGAATTTTGAAAAATAAATCCCTTAAATGGTTCATCAAGTACAGAACATAGGTCTTACACTTGTGAGTACAATCTAATTCAGTCATGCTTATGAAGACTGAAGCTTGAGAGAAACTTGACAAAAATAAGGAATTAAGGTTAAGTTTCTGTGCAGGTGTCTGTATACATAAGCCCTTCTCCTTTAAGACATACTTCACAGTCTTGGCTGGGAATGAGGTCAGGGGGAGAAGTCTAAGGTACACCTGTTTGCCTGCAGGGTTAGGTCTAATCACATTTTAAGCCTTCATAATAGCTCTATTTGGTGGTGTGAGGATTAAGGGAGAGTGAGGCGTCCCAGTTTCAGTGGAGATTAAAGTTGATAGGTACCTTAAATAAGTACATGATGGTACTCCATTATACAGAGTTCATGTTTTCTGAAGTGTCCCAGGTCAGGATACGTGGCCTGAGAAATGTAGCAATACTCACTGAAAATGAATTATCCTAGGAAGTGATTAACATCACAAATAGTTTTCAACATGAATGAAGTCAGAAACCTTTCATTGTGCTACATTGGTGATACCATTTTATTTGTTACTGTCCACAGGATGCAATAAAGCACAAATCATTCATTGGACCTGAAAAAAAACTAGAACATGGAAACACTGAGGAGGCATTTCAGTGTGTTGATCAGATCATTGAGGGTGAGTTCTTACGTCCTGTTCATTGAGAATTCTATAATTTTAATCCATGATGTTTGTTCTGTGTAATTTGAACGCAGCTGGTTCATTTGAATTCTTCTTGTGGAAATTAGTGAAGAGGTGGACAATGCAGAGGGAGCAGGCTCAGAGAGGAGGGGAGGTTTTGTGAAGAGTCCTAAATCTCTTGGCCAAAGAATCTTTACTGGTTTTTATAGGTGATGTAATTTTTTTATAGGCCTTTGGGATTGTGAATGGGAAGGTGACAGGGTCAGAGTTGTCCTTTAGTCCAATGTGTCTTTAAGTGTGAAGAGAACATCCACCAGAGACAGGGTCAAAGGTCATTATAGTATGTCAGGTGAGAGAGGATGAGTGTTAGAGTGGAGTAGAGAGGCGAGCGTACGTAAAAGAGATGCAACCATAGACTGGCAAAGAAGAATCAAAGATAACATTGAAGTCAGAGATTGATTAAATGAGGAAAAGGTGCTGTCATTAATAACATGGGAGTTATCATGACCTCACTGGAGGCTAGTAGAAGACCTCGTATTTGAGGAACCAGCAGGCCATTTGCAAAGAGATGTCCTGAGGAAGTTAGGAGGGGGATTCCAGTGCTTTAAGAAATATTGGTTCTGGAGATGTGGATTTGGGGGAAGCTAGTCCTGATGTGAAGGA